GCATCAATTAAAAAGTCCAACAAAAAGTTAACTAGCTCCAAGATTCATAATTATCATGATCGTAAGCTATTAGTTGAGCAGTTTAATCGATTAATCGACGGTCAAATTGAGATTTAAATGTATCAGGCACTTTTTAAGCTGCCTGAGAATACATAAATTATATATTGTATGTATATATTTAAAACTATATATACAACTACAACACAAAGATAACCAAATCCAAAGTGGAGGTGGGTTGGTGGGTGATTGGCTTTCGCAGCACGATTTGACCTAAAACCGTGCACGGTTCGATGTTCGATTGTACAGTATTTTCATCGTCTAACTTGGGGTCTTCTCCAATTCTCTTCGTTTAGTCTCTTCGATACCATATCGTGTATGAGGATATATATTGCATTTAACTGTAACTGGAAGACTGCGACCGCAGATGGTAAAGAAATCTAGCGACCGCGAGTTAAAGGGCCACAGAGGTTTCGTGTCAGCTGCTAAACTTTCAGTCCCTGAACCAAGCGAGTCCTGATCAGGAAAGCGGTAAAAATAATTAAATCCAACGAGTATACATTTATGAAGAAAAAAAAGAGTGATGTTGTTATAAAACTGGTGGTGTTCGAGTATAGTATTAGTCTCTTGAGTTTTTTACCAGACTGAGCTGAGCTAAACTCTGATCAGAAAAACGTTGATTTCACTCCGTTGGAATGGTGACATGTTGTTCTCCAAGTTGGTACGGGTACATAAACACATATAAAAATAACATATATATATATATATATATAATACATCTCACGTCCCTCTGGTATTGCTTGCATTGTACCCCACATACCGATTCGCGTCTACTCCCGTTAACGAGCCGCGAACTCAGTTTCTCGTCTCTCGACTATTTTATTGTGTTCTCTCTACAAAATTTTTATATTTATATTTTAAAACTGTATCATTACTCACAGACAAAATACATATACTCGAATATATATCCACAACTACAGTATACACATGTTCGAGTGTCTTCATAAATTTCAGCATCATCGGTAACAATTCGAACGTTTGCGAAAACGATCTTTATGTCACGGACCCTCAGCACTTGCGACGTACCATTATATTCAAAGGCTGTCGGAAATAATTTTGCATACATGAATAATATTCGCGCACCAAACATATTCTTCGGTAAAACCCCGGGATCCAGAATCTTCGAAGATAAACGAAGAGGCTATATTTTTTTTTTTTTTTTTTTCAGTCTGCGTTGAAGAACAAGAAAATGTTCTTGTAAAGTTTACATAAGTCGAAGCGTATCGAAGCTTTTCGTTTTTACGTTTGTAAAGTAAAGGTACATTTAGATATTATGTATCCATAAATATACATATCTATACCGATATATGTATGTTTAAATGAAATGGATAAGAAATCGAGGGATGGATGAGGGTAGAACTGCGGAACTAAAAAAGATTGTTATTATTAAAAGTATGTGACGCAAGAAATCTTTTAGGCTTTGATTTGGTATATTCTGAGATACAGAGGTAAGATAAAAGGACGGGGGTTGGGGATGTTTGTGGTTGATGCTCGGTTCGAGAATGCGGTTATGATAATGCAATGGCTACCGAACTACGCAACATTCTTAAACTCTTTTGAATTTGTAATTATCTTTTTATTCATTTTCTTGAAATCTTTATTTCGCTCGCGGTTTTTTTATTGTCGTGAGGTAACAACTTATCCTTTCATTTATTTATTTATTCGTTTAGAGTGATGACACTGATGATAGTTAAATTGAATATACATTTTTATGATCACTAAATAATGGAATATAGCGGTAAAGCTTCTGTTGAAGATGCATTTTTAGTATTTTGTAAATGGGACATATAATGTTGAATTTTAATGAAAAAAATTTTTTTTAATTAAATAAAATATTTATATTATAATAATAATTAATACTAAATGAATAAACAGCTGGAGAAATTTAAAAGAAGCTTTAAAAGCTTAATAAAAATAGGTAAATGCCAATAATTCGCCGTAACATAATAAAAACAAACTCAATAATATCCAGACGATTAAATACATCATTGGGTCGATTGGTTTTGATTTTAACAATGTTTTCTCTCCCAGATTCCCGTCGTTAAGACCCGCGCGTTGAGAATAAGGAAGCGTAGAATCGACGAGTGGAGGAATAGAAGGAATCGTATTAGTACAGTAGGTTACAAAAAACTTTAGTTCGACGAAGAAATAAGGAAATGAGGGAGATAAAAAAAAGAAAGTGTAAGGGAGAGTCCTTAGAAAGAGTCACCTCTAGCTCACCGAGGCTTTTTCCAGGGTGGTTTTTAAATAATTCCACTATTTCCATGCATATTGCACGAAACAATTACAAGTGTAATTGCTAATAGAAGATTCCAGACGAGGCAAGGTTTATCTCGGTTTAAACCCAACCAGCATAGTATCCTCTCGTCTTCTTGTCCTTAATTTTATCTTTTCTATCCTCTATCCCCTTTAACTTACACCTTTGCGTTACACATTTTCTTTGACGGCGCGTCTTGTTTCCCGTACTCCTGTTTTTTGTATTGCCTTCCTTAACTATCCTCAATGTGGCATTATAAATCTTATGCTACTGTGCTGCCAAGTGCAGGTTGATTGTTTCTTACAAACAGCTTTTGTTTATTCATTTTGTACACGTAAACAGCTTGCTACAATCGCCTGTTAATTACAATCGCATTTTTTCCTCGAATTTGAATTCATAAAATTATCACTAAAATACAGCGATTAATTATTTGACAAACATGTATATATATATATATATATATATATATTATGTATATAGATATTGTATTAATCGATAAATATTTAAGAGAGAAAATTTTTCTATGTTCTTACGTATAAATATTTATACTATCAACAGGAAAAAAATTATTTATTAGTTGATTATTAATAAATATTTAGAGGAGAAAACATAGACACTGGTGTTTAATTTTTTAGTATAAATAATAGTTTATTACACCGATAAAAAATTTAAAAAATACAAAAAATATTTCTACGAATGAATTTCTCTCGCGCGATAAACAAGTTTTGATCGAGAAGAAAATGTATACTAAACATGCATGTCGGCGAGTTACATAAAGAATTTTTTGCTGTTGTTCTATTTGTATTACTAGTGTAGTATATCCTGGTGGTAACGTCGCGACGTCTTAGTAGCTGGTAGTCTCGGAATTGCGATATATATATATATATATATATATATATATATATAAATGTATCGATGTATCGGTTTTATCGGAAATTTTTTGAGCCTGCCGGCAGGACCTGTGTAGCCTGTTGTATAAGGAGAGGCAGGAAATTCTTTATAAATGTCTAGTGTAGATCTATAGATTTTGTGTGTAAAAGTACGAAGATGTATGTACGTGTGTGACTTTGAAAGTATGTATGAGAAAGGAGAGAGCTAAAAGGGAGGCAAGAGGGAAAAAATCAAGCAAATTGGTATGCAGTACACACAACAAGCTCGAACGGGGGCGGGAGAGACTTCTACAGGGGATAAGGGGTGAGTTAGGCCAGCTAGGGAGTAGCTACTCCGAAGGGTGAGATCAATACTCTCTCTCTCGTCTTCTCTTCTACCTACTATTTTTTTTTTGTTTCTTTTTCCTGTATCTAACACATTTTACTACTCTAGTCATTTTGTCAAGAATGCTATTTTTTATTCACGGAGTAGCAGTGTTCTTCTATTTTTAAATTTCTTCTTGGTAAAATTTTTTTTCTTTCAATGAAATGACGAGTGTTAATAAACACAGACTTTTTATGAATTAAAAGAGGTAATTTATATGTAATAACAAGGTATTTATGTTAATTAAAATACTAGCAAACTAACGAAGTGTGACGCGGTGGAATGTGATTTAAACTTTTTATCACCCCTTTCTCTTTATATTTCGTTCAGTCTTAAAGGATTTTAAGAATGAAAGGGGGTTAGAAATCGTGAGCTCCAACTTGCTTATGACTTAATCGAGGAAAATTTTTATCAAACAACAATTAGTTTGATTGATTACCGTACTCATATACTCGCTCTAATTTTTTTTAAATTCGATAAAAATAATTTTTGTATGAAGAAATTTTATGAAACTTTTGGTAGATGCGAGAAAAAGTATAATAAATAAAAGAGGTGAAAAAGAATAACGAATAAAATGCAAGAGACCAGTCGGTGGGTCACGATTCGAGTTAATGCAGCGTAGAAGAAAGTCCCTAGGTTTATTAAGCTGTTGCCGAGGGAAAAAGATGAAGCCGTGCAAGAGACGCTGGATAAAGTGTACGAGAAGTTAGGACCAACGAGTAGAAGGAAGTCTACGTGTGTTCTATGTTAATTAAATAAAAATATATGGAAAAATAAACTTCACTATAAAAAATTTAAGCGATGGATAAGAATGATGATAATATTAAATTTGAAGAATGATTAATATCTCGGAATTTTAGACGTTGATGTTGAATATTATGTGTATTTATTTGGCGAATGATAACGCACAAAAAAATTTAGTAAATAAGCACTTTCATAAATTTATAATTACGCAGAACAATCAACTGTAATTTTTATACAATAACAACGATTATTAATGGATAAAAAAATTTGTAAATATGTGAAGTGTAAAGAAGTTGGCACGTACCAGAGATAAAGTGTTGATAAATTAAATTTAAAGTGAAATGAATAGATAAGTCATTCCATATTGAGACAAATGACGTGAAATTGATAAATGCTTATAAAAAAAAATTTGTAATAAACAAGCTAGTTGGGCTAGATAATAGAATTTTGTCGATCGCTTTTGACGATTGAATTTCAAAACTATACGAGGTGGGTGATATTGCAGGATAATTGATTGTTTACCGTTTCTTGCCTGATAATCAGTATTTTCATAACGTATCCGCACGTTCGAGATACTTCATATGATAAACATGCATATAAAACTAATGCAGAGTGGTCATTCAGAGGAGAAAAAAGTTGACACTTGGAGCCATTTGGAGTCGAAAGTGCTTGTGTTGACTGGGTTGTAATGAAGATTACAGATGGGAAAACTTTCGTTGTGTATGTTGGAATAACTATCTGGTTACATGTGTCTTTCGAGGTAGAGAAAAGCAATGTAAGTATCAATTAAGAATTATGTTGAAAAATGGTAGACCTAAAAACGTATTTTATTTCAGGCATTGATACTTAGGCACAAGATTCCTAATCAAACAAAATGGTACAAGACGCGGTATTGTTTACGGAATCGAAATTGTGAGGATGATCAAATATGTGGGTTGGGAATATGTATCAATCCGTGTTTATACAAAAAATATTGCAATAATGAAGTTTTCCAAGTAAGTAATCATAAAACTCGTTGTCAAAACGTTCTACTTATGACAACCATATCTACAACAAATAATGTAATGTCGACCACAACTTCAACGGAATCAAAAACTACTACAAACGGAAAAATTGATTCAACTCCTGCGATTCTGTCAAGAGTAGGAGCTCCGGTTATTCCTACGACACCGAAAATTCTTGATTTGTCAAATGAAGGAACTAGGCAATCTACTCCTGCCATACTGTCAAGAGTAGGAGCTCCGGTTATTCCTACGACACCGAAAATTTCTCTTGATTTCTCAAATGAAGGAACTAGGCAATCTACTCCTAAGATTCCGTCGACAGTAGGAGCTCCGGCTACTCCTAGGAGACCTGAAATTCTTTCGGAATTCTTTCCTCCTGTAGCACCACTTGTTACTTCGACGCCACGATTCCCTCCTGTCCCACGACTCCCAATTATTCCTGGTCTTTCTAGTCCTTCTCCTGTAGCAATGCCTGTTTTTTCGACGACACGATACCCTTCTCTACCAGGTCCAAGTACTCCTGATCATAGTAGACCTGTTGTAGCACCACTCGTTCATATGAGGTCAGGATTCCCTCCTGTCTCACACCCAATTATTCTTGGTTCTTCTACTCCTTCTCCTATAGCAATACCTGTTTCTTCAATGCTACGATCTCCTTCTCTACGACCTCCAAGTATTCCTGGTCTTCCTAGTCCTCCTCCTGTAGCAATGCCTGTTTTTTCGACGACACGATACCCTTCTCTACCAGGTCCAAGTACTCCTGATCATAGTAGACCTGTTGCACCACCACTCGTTCATATGAGGACAGGATTCCCTCTACGACCTCCAAGTATTCCTGGTCTTCCTAGTCCTCCTCCTGTAGCAATGCCTGTTTTTTCGACGACACGATACCCTTCTCTACCAGGTCCAAGTACTCCTGATCATAGTAGACCTGTTGTAGCACCACTCGTTCATATGAGGTCAGGATTCCCTCCTGTCTCACACCCAATTATTCTTGGTTCTTCTACTCCTTCTCCTATAGCAATACCTGTTTCTTCAATGCTACGATCTCCTTCTCTACGACCTCCAAGTATTCCTGGTCTTCCTAGTCCTCCTCCTGTAGCAATGCCTGTTTTTTCGACGACACGATACCCTTCTCTACCAGGTCCAAGTACTCCTGATCATAGTAGACCTGTTGTAGCACCACTCGTTCATATGAGGTCAGGATTCCCTCCTGTCTCACACCCAATTATTCTTGGTTCTTCTACTCCTTCTCCTATAGCAATACCTGTTTCTTCAATGCTACGATCTCCTTCTCTACGACCTCCAAGTATTCCTGGTCTTCCTAGTCCTCCTCCTGTAGCAATGCCTGTTTTTTCGACGACACGATACCCTTCTCTACCAGGTCCAAGTACTCCTGATCATAGTAGACCTGTTGTAGCACCACTCGTTCATATGAGGTCAGGATTCCCTCCTGTCTCACACCCAATTATTCTTGGTTCTTCTACTCCTTCTCCTATAGCAATACCTGTTTCTTCAATGCTACGATCTCCTTCTCTACGACCTCCAAGTATTCCTGGTCTTCCTAGTCCTCCTCCTGTAGCAATGCCTGTTTTTTCGACGACACGATACCCTTCTCTACCAGGTCCAAGTACTCCTGATCATAGTAGACCTGTTGTAGCACCACTCGTTCATATGAGGTCAGGATTCCCTCCTGTCTCACACCCAATTATTCTTGGTTCTTCTACTCCTTCTCCTATAGCAATACCTGTTTCTTCAATGCTACGATCTCCTTCTCTACGACCTCCAAGTATTCCTGGTCTTCCTAGTCCTCCTCCTGTAGCAATGCCTGTTTTTTCGACGACACGATACCCTTCTCTACCAGGTCCAAGTACTCCTGATCATAGTAGACCTGTTGTAGCACCACTCGTTCATATGAGGTCAGGATTCCCTCCTGTCTCACACCCAATTATTCTTGGTTCTTCTACTCCTTCTCCTATAGCAATACCTGTTTCTTCAATGCTACGATCTCCTTCTCTACGACCTCCAAGTATTCCTGGTCTTCCTAGTCCTCCTCCTGTAGCAATGCCTGTTTTTTCGACGACACGATACCCTTCTCTACCAGGTCCAAGTACTCCTGATCATAGTAGACCTGTTGTAGCACCACTCGTTCATATGAGGTCAGGATTCCCTCCTGTCTCACACCCAATTATTCTTGGTTCTTCTACTCCTTCTCCTATAGCAATACCTGTTTCTTCAATGCTACGATCTCCTTCTCTACGACCTCCAAGTATTCCTGGTCTTCCTAGTCCTTCTCCTGTAGCAATGCCTGTTTTTTCGACGACACGATACCCTTTTATTACCACTCCCGCCTTTTGATGGTTATGATAGACTCCATTTTCCTTAGTTCTAGAATTATTTTGCAGCACCACGCATCACCACTCTGGCACTACGAGGATCAATTTGTTCTGTATAACATCCTCCGAACACTACTGTTGATCCAAGACCTTCTTCTGCAACACCATAGCCAGTATTTTGCAAGTTATAACATCTTCTCCTGTTATCGCATTAAGTCCACTTTAATCATCTACTTATTACTTGGTGTTGATATTTTGTATATTTTCTTACACAATCATTAGCAAATGTAGATGATGCCTTGTATTTAAATTGATTAACTATCATTACATTTTTATTTCTTTGATATGTTTTCTTCATTATAAAACTTTTTCATTAAAAATAAAAGTGTTATTTATTGTCATTTGAAAATTTTTAAACTAAGTCTATGTCTCAACTCTATTCTATTACATAGTTGTTAAAAATAAAAGCATTCTTTTAAGGTTGATATTGAAAAAATTAGCATGGATACAATAAATGGGAAACTTTATTCGTCGAGCGATATCCTGTCCCGAGCTGACCCCGAGGCCGGAAGTGTGTGTAAGTTCGACGGGAAAAGGTGTCCAGGCGAGCGAAGAATATATGCATTGTAAAACAATGACGCTTGTCACGAGACTATCGCTTGTATATATTATTGTTGTGTATATATACGGTACGAAATATATGTATAATAGAAGAGTATTGAGAGACACCGTCGAGGTGACGAGCTGAGTTCATGGTTATTGATGGACAACTGGGGTCAGATGTCGTGATTTCCTATTTTATTTAATAAAAATATCAAGGTTGCTTATTTTGGACCATATTTTGCCGAATACGTTCTTTTGCAACAACCTAACTGAACTGTTATATGGGACTACGAAACAAAGAACTCATTTCAATCCACATCATTTATAGTTTCACTTTATAGTTTTTCGATCAATTTATCTTTTTATTACACTTCAAAAATTATAAATTCTATTGTATAGACGTATGTTTGATTTTAACGTACCAAGTAGTAACTAATACAAATATTAAGCCGCAGTTGACGAAGCATCTTTGAGGATTTAAATTTTGAAAAGTATGTAAATTATCAACTGTGACAAATGATCTTCATACCCGAGAATACAACAAAATAGATGAATAGAAGAAAATGTGTTGGGTTATTTGTGATGGTAGCGTATGTAAGAAAAGTCAGTGGCTGCGGCTAAGAAATACGTAATAAATAATAATAATAATTGCTGGTACGTGTTCGCACAAAAGTGCAAGATGCTTAAGTTGCCCTACACAGTCCCAGGTCTACGGGTGGCCTGCTGTCTCATTCACTTCTTTACTGAGCTACACCGTTTTTTATTTTATTTTTTTACAACGTTCCTCTGGCGTACTATAGTTACAGATTACATTGTCCAAAAGTATTGGTATTAGTATTAGCACAGTTTCTATGCAGCAGTCTCAGATTAGGCAGGAATCACCACGCAGCTTTTTGGATTTTGAAAATGATTTAGCGATCAAATTTGATCGCCTTTAACGGTCCATTTTATTTTTCCTTTTGATTGTTATCCATACTAAGGATTTACAATATGATTTTGAATATTTTGGGCAAGGTTACTTATTTTTTTTATTATAAATTCAAAAGGAGCCTTTTCTGAACTTAACTCGTGGGTTTTTTACTTTTGGTGTAAAAAGATTTACAAAAGGAAAGATATACATCCATGAATATGAATTTTTCTTATTATATATAAGCTTCTGGTTAAATATATTAGAACACGAAGACTCGGGTCCACCGGCTACTCATAAATAAGATTTTTTTCGCGTAATGTGCAATATCAACTTAGGGACTCGCTTTTCAGACTTATATTGTAGGTTATACATTTTTTATCTCCATTCATTTCGCATAGTTTTATGGCCGTCTTAAATTTTTTGCTTAAATTGTAATTGAGACATTGTCGTCCATAAAATAATAAATAATAATAAATTTTTCTATGGATTTATTTGAAAAAAAAACATCTTATTCCAACGAGTAGAAAGAAAAATTTTTATGTATAAAACGCACCGATAAATAAGGTAAAGACACTCACTCACCAGAAGCAGTTCTTACATTACTCTTTTTACTCATACAAAGTAAAGCGCGAATTCAATTCTCGTGAGAGGACAATAGTGACTCTCGTGTGTGGACGGTCGTGGTATTATTTTGCGGTTATGGCTATTTTATTATTTTTTTGTTTGTTTGTTTTTTCCTTTTTTTAAATAAGAGTTCCTTTACTCAAGATGGTGCGTGCTCGTGCATAACTTTCAGGTGTCGTACGTTTTATCGCGCGGTTACCTGTCCCACTTACCGCTTTTTGTCCTTACTTCCTCGGCGAGTAACACCACAGCAGCTCTTATCTTGTTCACAGCGGGCTTCTGCAAATCCTCCAGTCCCGCGGGATATGTGCCTGATATCAAAGAGAGAGCCATGTCTGTTCTCGTTCAGATTAAAAATCTGGTCAATTCTAAAAAATGGATCATTACCAGATAATTATTCAGTCAATCGACTCGTAGTATATTATTGATAGATTATCGCATTTGTAATTAAAATAAATTTTTTTCACTTTATTATTAATTATCAAAAATACACAATTATAAAAATAAACTTGAAATGTACGGATAAATAATAATAATAAATATTATCAGGTTAATTATTAAAGTTGAAAAATTCACGAATTTTTCTTTGTTGAATTCCATTTGATATATTTAATAAAATTAATAACATGCTGCTGAAAAAATTTATATCGACATGCACGTTTTTGATAACGTCAGAGCAATAAGTATAAAAAGAGACAATTAGAGTAGCTACCAGCATTTGACTCTAAACTTTTTTATGTGAACCATATTCCGTCTGAGACAGATTTTTTTTAAGAAAAGTACTATGAAGCTAAAGAATCTCTTTATTTTTGAAGCCGTAGTAATTGCACTGGTGATTTTGTCATTTACAAACAAAGTTGACGTAATTGTTATGTTATTTATTTTCATTTTATTCCATATTATTCATTAAGAATATAAATATTAATATTTATTCTTATTTAAGGCTTTGAGCAAAAATTGTCAGCGTTGGCTACAGACATGGTTTCCTATATACTGCACCAGTAATAAAGACTGTCCTGACAATTTGTCATGTTTAATAGAGGCTAAAGAGTGCAGAAACCCGTGTAATTCTACCAGCTGTAAGTTTACAGACGATATCTGCTTAGTAATGAACCATGTAATCAATTGTACATCAAGTGCTAAATCATGTACGGAACAAAAAGATTGTCCAGATAATTTAGATTGTTTAGAAAAGAAATGCAGGAATCCATGTGATGGAAAGAAGTGCGATGAAGGTAAAATTTGTGTGGTACAAGATCACAAGGACATATGTGGGTATATTAATGGGAAAAATAATAAAACTGAATTAGACGGAAAAGGTAAATTTATAGAGATTTTTCGGTGATGTACTCACTTATTTACAAAACTGGAATATTTTTTATAATAGGAATATATTTTTTCAGTGTCTGTGGTCCGTAGCTGCGAATGGTGGGATTTTTTATGTCGTGCTGGTTGGTATTAATAGAGTCCGGAAAATAACATTATTGCTTCAAACTATTATTTTGAATGAATAGTGAAAGATTTTAAATGTGTATCATTGGAGATTTGTACTACAAGAATAACAAACTGTATTCTTTGAGAAATAGAGATCTTTGGTTTATAATCGTTTGAATTTACGCAGTTTTACGTAAAATTAAATTTAAAAATGATAAATAATCCTGTAATTTATATTTGAATCGTTTATTTGTCATCAATAATATTGTAGTTAAAATAAATACTTACAATTATGAAAAGAAAAATTACGATGCTTCATTTCTTCATTGTTTCACGAAAAAATGTACCCTCAATAATTATTAAAAATAAATATTCTTGTATCCAAAAAATTTTTTTAAAAGTTATATTTATTTTCTCAGTTTACTCTCATAACCATATGCGAAGCTAACTTGATGTATTTTGTAAAAATAGTATATTACACTACAAGGGCAGAAAGTTTGAGATTCTTGCACTGCGCGCCATATGCCCGAGGCGAAGCCGAGGGCATCATGGCACGCAGTTCAGGGCTCTCAAATTTCTGCCCATGTAGTGTATACTAGTTTTCTTACTATGCGGTCGAAAGTACGTTAAAAATTGCGTTGAAAAAAATTGATGCCTGCCCCCGACATTTGCGGCACGAGCGAAGCGAGTGCTGCTGGTCGGGGGGGCAGGCATCAAATACACCTGTCAATAAAGATATTAATATATAATCTATCATATTACTACTTTCTTTTAAGAAAAGATCGTAATTTAACTGAATAAATTTAACGTTATAAATGTATCATAAATTAACTCTGATTTTAAGAATAAAATAAAAGATGACAAAGTTAGTAGTCACTTAATCATTTCTTAATTTTTTTTATCAAATAAATTTAAAAAAAAAATAGTTTTTAAAAAATTGCATTTTTAATTTTTTAAAATTTCTACATGTCAATTTTTTTTCTAATTTTTTTTTTTTGCACTAATTTATTTTTTTTTAAATTCTAAAATTTATTAAATATCTGCTACTTTAATTTTCATTAAAATAAATATTCATTTTCTGTAATTAACTCAGTTTCAACCTCAAATCATTGACACATAACAACACAGATACATTCATAACAATCACAAGTAAGGTTAGGCTTATAAACATAAGTAATAGAGTGAGCGCGACTACCGACTTTCGGACTTTCTGCCACCTCGTGTCTCGTTGTCAGTGCATGAATACATTTTTTCGGCTCCCCGTCGTAAAACGCATGCGCGACTCGACCACGGCATAAATGTCAGGCTTTCTATAGTGAAATCGCAACAGAAACCCCGTACTTTCGACCAGCGTAGTAAGAAAATAACATTTTATCATTCGTCAAAGTTAAGATTGTCACAAAGAAGGTATTAAAAAATTTGTGAAAGATTGTGTATAAGCCGTATCGGGCTGAATTGTTTATGTGAACACAAACAAAGCTGATAATTAGTAGTCTAATTTAGATTGTTTTTTATTCTTTTCGTTAAATTCCACAACTCGATAATACAAATGTGAGAAAATTTGATTATTCAGTAGCATTTGTTATTGTTAATCACATATTTTTGTTTGTAACATCACGTTCTCACGTCTTTGATAACACATTAATGGTATAAAAGTCAGCAAACTTGTAACTTTATATTATTATTCAAAGTTCTGTCAAAAGTATTCTTTCTGCTTCATTTTCCGAAAATTAAATCACAATGAAAGCATTTAACTCATCCATCTTTATTGTCGTGATCTTTGTACTACTTTCATCTTCTAAAAATGTCGACGTAAGTATTTTATTACTTATCAATTATAAATCTCAGAGTATTTTTTATTTCAAAATAGTAATTATTATTAAACCAAAAATTATAAAAAAAAATTGTTTAATTTTAAAGGCATTCAATCGCGAGTGTTGGAGACACGTGCAATCAAATTTTATTAAATTACGATGTAGCACAGATGCAGACTGTACTTATTATACAAAGTGCGTCGATAAGAAGTGTGAAAATCCATGTAACAGTACATGTCAGACGAACGAGCAAGTGTGTGTTGTCAGATCACATTCGGCTAGTTGCAAAAGTAATAAAAATTTCTCTAAAATTTTTAAATATATTTAGTTTCAACTCTGTAACATTTAATTATTATTTCAGCTCTTGGAGATGCTGGTTGTCGTTTTAAAAATGCCGGGATATTGTCAAGCTTAAGATGTCCAATCGGAGAGAGACCAACATATTACGAGTTCAGAAACTATCATCACAACACTATGCGTTATTTCTATTTTTTTTAATTTCATAGAATTATAAATAAATTTTATTAAAAAGAAAACTTTTATCTTAAGTACAATTTTACAAAAAATTTTTTTATTGTCGTAAAGTTTTGATAGAATTCAACTTTAATTTTTTTATACAATAAATATGTACATATATATAATTACACTTCTTGAAATTCTAGTGTGTCAATGCGAGAATCACATCACAATTTTTGTTATGAATTTTAATAAATAATTGTTAACAGTGTCTTGTTATTAAAATAAAAAATAAATAATCACCTTTGCATCGACAAATAACAAAAATAATTGAACAAAATTAGTAAAAAGTACCTTTTTACCTCAAACTTTAGTTGTTTGCAAGTACAGATGACAAGTAAAGATGATAGTATGAATGAAGGAGCTGTTAAAAGAAGGCGAGAGTAATGAAAATAAGAAGAAAGTAATATAATGGGAAGAAGGGGTTAATTGCCGTTGAGATGACTCTCGCGTGAGGAAAGCCAAGTTTATTAGCTCGAGGGTTCGATCGTTCCTCTTTTGGACCTCATATATATAGATATATACATACAGTTGCTTGAAAACAAGTTGAAAGCTCTTCTTCTTCTTAATTTTGTTATTATTATCTCGGATGCTCGGAGCTAGTCTTCGTTTAAAACCGCTTGACTCTACTGACTCCCTCAAAAGATCTGCAGACTCTTTTTTATACATATGTACACTTCCAAGAAACCAGCGCAGTTTCGGATAATCAACCGGTGAATTGGGATGTAACGTGTCTTAAATTGTCTAATGAGTGACCGAAGGGTAAAGTCACTCAAGGTTCTTCATATCTTTTCGTTTCAATTAAATATCCCGTTGCGAAAGATGTGTATCTGCATAATATTATTAATGCAAAAAAAAGTTCATGATTCACCTCTCTTTATTCAAAAAAATTTATTTTCTCCACTGAATTGCCGAAATGACATACATAAGCCTAGAAGTATAAATATAATGTAATGTATCGAGAGGTGTGTAAAAAATCGATGGCAATAGATTACAGAAAAAAAATAACTTGGAATATTTGACATGCCCACCAGTGGCTTGAGCACCACCTGTTTCCTATCCTCTGCTTCTAAGGGCAACTCCTGACGTTTTCTTTCAACGTAACACCAACAAGCCCCACGTTTTCCATCAACAACCCTCTCTGACAAATCTTTCCCGCTAAAATAGCTTCTCGAAGACGAGATTGAGAGGAACAGAATAGAATGGCTCTTGCGGTTGTGTAATAGTAATAGTATTATTATTATTATATTCTTGTGTAGAGCTACGGTGGATTTCAGAGTCGCGTGTTCGGGATCCTCGTAGTCATGCACCATGCCGGCAGACATGCCGCCAATAAGTGAACATCGGTTGCGTTACTACGCCCTCATCGTTTTGCCTCCGCATTCTCTTTCATCTATATAATACTCGGGCATCGATTTTTTTTTGTATGAACGATAAAATATATAAGAGAGAGTCCATACATATCACAAGTTTAATGCGTCTTTACCGTGATTTTCATTTTTGTAAATTAAACTTGACCTCTGAGCTGCTGATTTGTTGCATTGAAACAGAACGGCTAATTTTAATGATTGTTAAAGCTTATGCAAGCTTATTAAAACTTTGAGCGCAGAATAGAGTGACCTCGATCGGTGCGGGTGTTGCTGAAAATTATTGACGATAGACGTGGCTCGCGAACCTCGTCATCTGGGCCAGAGACCTTGTCCGTTAGCGGACGCGACGTCGCGGTGTTATATGCACGTCCTGCAAATCAATGACATTGATTTATATCACTGAGAAGCCGATATATGTATATGCATGCATATGTAGTTGGTAGTATACACATACGTGTAAGATTGTGTAAGTGTTTACTCTTACGACTTAACGAAATAAGGAAGGGCGCAATGGTGACTGGTAGATAGTTACTAAGAATTCCGGGATTTATACTGATCTTACGAAGCCGTGGATGGTCTTTCGTCTTGACGTGGCATTCACATTCACTGTAATCATTACTGAGAAGGTTACTTCACTTCCTCGAAGGTATATCGATAAAAATTCTTTTACAGCTTTCCCAAATAAATGATTCCGATCGGTTTTTTCAAAGTTTATTGAAGAAGATATAATAAGAAAGACCTCATTATTCTGGGGATAATAATACAAATAGACGAAATTATTTCATAGCTACTGGAAATCGGTGACTAAAAAATTGATGGGGCTTTCTGAGATGTAAATTATTTCAGTGGATAAATATTTGTGCACGCATAAGATATTTGTTTACATGTATATATTTGATTTTACACTGAAGAAAAAAATTATGTTTTTTCATGTATATACACTGATAAAAAATTAATATGATTTTTTTCTAATTAAAAAAAAAAATTTAAACCAAGATAATTATTATGAAAAATTTAATTTTCTTACTTAAAAATATTTTTTGCTTAATCGATGACAATTAAATTTTTTAAATAATTTTCTTCGTTTAAAATTTTTTCTGCTGAATTAAATTAATTTTTTTTGTCAATATAAATAGATATAAAAATATATTTGTTGAAAAATAAAGACCTTTTTCCCTTAGTTATGCTAGATAGAGTAGAATTTTTATTAAAAAAGTAAATGGACGTGTGTGATTGATATTGTTCTAAAGGTTGGTTTTAAACTAAGCAGAAAGGACAATATAAGACAAGGGGAGTGTAAGTCGCGTGTATACCAGAAATTCTTGAGAAAGCGTATGAGTGTCACGTATGAGTTGACCGGAATCTTCTTAAAGTTTTGAGGAGAGAGAGTGAAAACAAGTTGGATAAGAGTAGACAGTAGAAAAGCCGAGAGAATATTGGCATACCGAGGAAAAGAATTTGGAGGGCCTGCGTGCGTCTATCTTTGCAACGAGGGGCTCGCGATTATTTTCCGATCCTTACGTGTTGTGTATAGTCCTGAGACCTCGGAAGCGTGCGGACAGATGCACGAGGAAGAACTTGAGGCAGCCAAAGTAAAGAGTTTGACTCTCAATTGCTCGGCAAACTATCTGGACGGTGATAGATGTCCTTTTGCCGTTGGAATGCTCGCGGAAGTCCCAACACTCCCGCGCCCGCTCGTGATGGAATCTCATCGATGTGTTCTTGTACACTCGGCATCGGCATCCATCCCAAGACAGTCCGGCACACATCTCCTGGATATGTGAACCCTAATCTAGGTGACAACATCAATTTAGGCTTCACTTGCTCCACTTTAATGTCCAATGTCACGATAAATTTCTTTCTCATATAAATGATCTGTTTTTTCTTTTTCAATTTATTTTTTATTAAAAGGAATTTTTTAAATGTAATTTTATAGAATAAAAAATTAATTAAAAAAATAATATTTTAATTTTTAAGCTCAGAGAAAATTACTTATTATTATTATTTACGTTTAGCTTTTTTATTGCTTCGTGAAAATGAGTGTTCGATTTATTTCAGAAGCTCTAATGTATATAATACACACAATACGTGTGTGTGCCGAGTACTGAGTAGTGAAAATGAAGTAAAGGACGAAGAAGAAGAAGAAGAAGAAGAAGAAGAAGAAAGAAAAAGGAGTAGAGAGCGATGATGCTGCGGAACATAAAGCCACGTTCATCATACACAATAGACAGCCATGAAACAAAACGGCGAAGCACGCGGCTGTAAACTGGAAATATGTCAAAGATAATAAAACAATTAGCCATAAAACATAACGACCCCCGTATGAACTGTTTCCAAGTGTTGTGTTTGTGTGCTGCGGAAGGACATTACAGGACGGTAGTGAGTGAGTGAGCGAGTGAGTGTAATAGAGAGGCGACAAAAAAATAATAAAAAAAAAGAAAAAAAACGATGAGCCAAGTCGAGGCGTTAAAACGAAAAGAGAAAGAGAGAAAGGTGGGACAAATGAATGGTGACAAGTCAAACAAAAAATCCGGTGGACAATGCACGCGGCTGTATGTCGTACGTCTGCTGCGCCAGCCTTGTGTATAAAACCTACGTTAATGCATGCTAAGAGGTTGTATATTACTTAGTAACACTCACGTTAAGTAGAATATGCTATGATAATTATTAACAAAGAGTTGTTATTTTTACACACCAGGTTTAAAAAAATAAAGTTTATTCTTCGGCGCCCTATATATTTTCTGCTAGGATAGTTATTGCAAAGAAATATTTTAATTACACAGGAACTATTTGTAATTTGTAACAGAAACAGTAGCAGGTCCTTGGGCGGTGATCCATAAGTAATTGTCGGTAAAAAAATTTTTCACTTTAGTTTGGCATTTATATGACTTGAAGAAAGAAAAATGTTTATTTGAAAGTCCCGTCGAATGTTAGAGGGGAGACTTTATTTATTTTTTTTCCCAATGAATTTTAAGATGAATGGTGGAGATAAGAAACAATAGGGCGGTCACTTGGTGTGTTCTTTCTCTCATCTCGCGGCAGAACGAACAAAATATTGAGTAAAATAAAATAAAGTAAAAATAGCTAAGACAAAAAGATAAGTTACAAATGCTGGATCCTAAAATAAAATAATAAAAAACAAAGAGGAAAATGGGAGAAACAAAAGGCAACTTGATGTTTCACCGCAATGAACGGATGGTGGATGTATGAGTCTATATATATATATATATATGTATTTTACAAGTGAAGCCTCTGTACTGTGTATGAACTCTCTTTAGTTGTAACGCCTTGAGCGTCTTTTCTTTACCGCTGACGCCAGCGTAATAGTACAAGGATAATAGCATGATGCTCACAGCGGCAAAATTTTATACATATAGATATAAACGGAGAAAAATAACAAGTCAAAAAAATCACAAGAAATGAGAGACGAAAGAAGATAAAGAAGGATGGAATAAAATGTGTTGGTGCATCCAACGTCGTCGTTACTTTAAACATCTACCAGCTACTGTACAACTCTACAGGCATCAGACATCAGACAACAGACAGAAAGACAGTAAGACAGACATCTGCAGTGTAGTTGAAGCTAAGATAGCCAAGGATATATATCTGTAG